ATAAACACAGACCTGATATATATGATTTCTTACAAAGAATGCATATTATTTAAAAAAAAACTAAATGAAAAAATATTCGGAATTATTTTAATTCAATATTTAAAAAAAATAAATTCAGACCAAATAAATTTTTTTAAAAAACAAATATTCATTTGAAATATATACGATTTATCCATTAAAATCATGTCGGCATTAAATAATATATTATATTGATAAAAAAAAAAAATAAACCCATATATATATTTTAAAAGAAATATTCTATTCATACGAACCTATCGAAAATCTTGTCGGCATTAAATAACCCATTGAGGTGTTGATATGCCGTAAAACAAAAAAAAAGACAGACCCTGATATATTAACTGATTTAAAGAATGTGAATGCATATTCTATTCAAATGAACCTATCCTAAAATCTTGTGGGCATTAAATAACCCATTGAGGTGTTGATATGCCGTAAAACAAAAATAAACACAAAAAAATATATCAAAACTGATTTCTTACAAAGAATAAATATTCTATTCTTATTTGAACCTATCCTAAAAATGTTATCGGCATTAAATAACCCATTGAGGTATTGATATGCCGTAAAAAAAAAATAAACACAGAACTGATAATCTCATTTCTTACAAAGAATACATATTCTATTCATACGAATCTATCCTAAAAATCATGTCGGCATTAAATAACCCATTGAGGTGTTGATATGCCGTAAAAACAAAATAAAAAAAAATAAACATTTCTTAAAAAATGCATATTCTATTCATGAACCTATATAAAAATCATGTCGGCATTAAATAAATTGTTGATATGCCGTAAACAATACAGACCCTGAATTTTAAATTTCTTATTGAAAAAATGCATATTCTATTCATGTTTTCCAAAGAAAATAGGCATTAAATAACCCATTGAGGTGTTGATATTTTTTAAAAACAAAATAAACACAATGATGTTTATTAACTGATTTCTTACAAAGAATGCATATTCTATTCATACGAACCTATAAAAATCATGTCGGCATTAAATAACCCATTGAGGTGTTGATATGCCGTAAAACAAAATAAAACAATAATATATTTTTTGATTTTTACAAAAAATGCATATTTATTCATACGAACCTATCCTAAGAATCAAATTAAATAACCCATTGAAGAAAATTGATATCCGTAAAAACAAAATAAATCCAAACGTGATCTAAAACTGATTTCTTACAAAAATACATATTCTATTCATACGAACCTACAGTAAACCCATTGAAATGTTGATGAAGTGTTGATGTATATAAAAACAAACCATACCAAAAGACAGAGGGAAGACACATCAAGTCCCTGAGAAAGTCTCTGAAATCGCGATGCGAGGGGTCAGGATCGATCATATTTCGGATCCTTCTTTGAAATTTCTCAAGAAACTCGAGATGAACAGCAGGGGCACCGGACCAGATATGGCAACAGTATTCAATGCACAGATGTAAAAAAAAAAAACCCCAAAAAACCCTTCTGGTACGACTGAATTGACACACTTTACTCGTTGTAGATGCAGCCATTGATTCAATGCAGTTATCTACTTCAAGTAAGTTTAAAACGGGAGGACAAGCTTTAAAAATTTTAATGCAATGTCAATTGTCATTTTCTCTCTTCTCACTGATATTTTATCTCTCCTTAACAGTTCTTTTAGTTCTAATATTCACTCACACTCAATTAGCCTTTGTGTCTTAGTAGTCATATTGCCTTTCTGAGGTAGAAGTTATATATATATATATATATATATATGTCTTAAAATAATTGTCGGACTTTGCCCATTTCATAATGTGTGACGTCATTTGTTTACATTTGGATACGCGTCGAGCAGATATGAATGTACGTGAGAGAATCATGGAAGATTGTAGTTTAAAGACAGTAGAATCGACCTTGCTAACTGAACGTTCCTTTGTGGCCGAAACGGTAAAAGCACGTCAGGCTAAATGACGGTACCGTATATGATACAGGTTCGATTCCCGTCGGAGGACGAATATTTTCTATGAAAATTTATCGGACATTCAGGCCGGTATATGTTTAATACTGTTTATTATAAACAGAGCATTTACTTAAATATTTGTAACTATAAAAAGAATGTATAAACATAAAAATGCCTTAATACATATATATATATATATATATATATATATATATATATATATATATATATATGGGGAAATGTGTGTGCGCGTGCGTGTTTCTATGTATAGGTACAATGTTTAAACTCATCATACTTATCTGAAAACTTTTCATCTAAGGAGGAAACGAGTTGTTTCCATTAGAATACATACATATATAAATGCATACATACATATATATATATATATATATATATATATATATATATATATATATATATACATACACATATATATATATATATATATATATATATATATATATATATATATAGCTGAAAGTATATAATTGGTATATACGGAACGAATTCCAATAACCAACTATTACTATTCTTAAAAGAGTGCTCAATACAAAGTAGAGCAGATATAATTATTTTTTATAAAACAAATTTATAACATAAATATGTTATATTTATCAAGTGATGATGTTGAATGTAAAATAAATGGTTTTAAAAGTTTCCAATTAATTAACGATCCTTCGCTAGGGGAAAACGTTGTTACAAAAGCTAGAATGACCAATCAAAACCCAATGTGTGTGTGTGTGTGTGTGTGTTTGTGCGTACGGTCAGGGCTCGTGAAGATCGTTAAAGAGCGTTAACCTTAATTAGCGACTTATTGACACCCTATATGATCATTTCTTTGGATATATGTATATATGGTATATATTATATTACATATATATATTCATTATAATTTTATGATATAGATTATGATTATATTTTATATATATATATTTAAAGATATATTTTGTAGGTACAAAATTTAATGATCAAATAAAAAGTGTAAAATTTAATATTACAAGACATTAAAACAATATTAAATAATAAAAAAAAAAAAAAACTCAACAACAAATGGAACCGGTTTCATGAATCCTTAAACCTTTCATTAAATTCACCGGTCAAAATTAAAACAGAAATGTACAACAAGAATAGGTCTTCCAAAAAAACAAAAATTCATATATATACACAAAACATATATATGCAAGAAGGAACTAGAGGCAGATGGAAAAAAAACAATTTTCATATATATATATATATATGTATATATATATTTTTTTTTTTGTTTTTTTTTTCCATTATTCTTATTGTACATTTCTCTGTTTTAATATTGAATCTATGTGGAAGCCTGATGAGCGGATTGTATATCCCCAACCCTCGTTGTTGAGTTTGTTTTTTTATTATTTAATATTGTTTTAATATGTCTTGTAATATTAAATTTTACACTTTTATTTCGATCATATATATATTTATATGATTAAAAGCAGAATTGTTCATCTCTCTCTCTCTAGGATTTTAGATTTGCTCTACTTCGTGTATTGAGCACTTTTACGTTGTTTTTTTTTTTTACTCTGTCGGTAATTTTTTTTTTGTTTTTTGTTTTTCTTGCGACTAGGAACTGGGGCGCTGATTGATTATTTTAAGTCAACACGGATATCTTTCGTCTTTTCTTAATTTTTTCCCTTATATCGGTTTGTTCCAATATAATTTTATTTGGCAAATTGGATCATCCGGGGTTTTTTCATTCCGCCAGAATATACGTATTAAAATAATATATATATATATATATATATATATACTCACACACACACAGATATGTTGGTATGTCAGTAAGCCTGCAGCTTGAAAATGATCAAATGATTAATGTTACATAACAACTTTTTACATTTTGACAGTTTTCTTCCTTGTCAATGCACTTAGCACAATGATTTTCCATTAATCGCATTCATCGAAGGTTACTCAATGAATAATAAATGCATTAGGTTACAGACATATTGATCCATTCTTACATACAAATACATAGTTAAACGCACGCACACTTAAATATGCACCCACATATACACACACACACACACACACACACATACATATATATATATATATATATATATATATATATATATATATATATATATATGAATATAGATGAACTTACCTGAAGAGAAGATGATTCCTTCACGAAAAAAAAAAAATTTAAAAAGAACCTACATCTTGCAATATTTTTTAACATAGCATCAGAGGAAAACGTAGAGACACATTGATGAAATTGAAAAAAAAAAAGTAAAACAAATGTTTCTCTAAACTGCCCTGTTACCGCTTAACGCTCAGCAATGGGAGGGAGCAGGGGTGTAGCGACGCAGAATTGACTAGTTGTGCGGGTAAGAAAATAAACGCAAAATACAAGGCTCTAAGTAGATGTCTGATGTCTGGCTAGGTGTGGTGGGGAGAGTCGATAAAGAGATGTCTAGTTTTGTTGCTAAAGACTTTGGTGATAGGAATATGTGGTAATGGTGGTCGTTTCACGGGAGATGAGGCTGTTGGATGCTGCTGGGGTTGGCTGGGCGTGTTAGGAATGGCAAGATGGGTTCGGGTGAATTGATTTTTTTTTTTATCTATATGTATGTTGTAAGAGAAGAAAATAATGCCCAATTGCTTGGAATCGCTTAAATGAAGGTTCGCTCAGTTGATTAGATGACATGCGGGATCCAATTGACAAAGATGGCTAGAATATAATACAGAATGAAAGAAAGCAGACGTTAGCAGGAAAGAAAGAAAGAAATACAAACGCGACAGCAAGTAAAAGGAAAAAAGAAAGAAAGAAAGGAACGAAGAACGGGAAAATAAAAGAAAGAAAGATGATTTCTGAAATAAAAAGAAAGTAAACGTGAAAAGGAAAAAGAAAAAAAGCAGAAAGAACGAAAGGAAGAATGAGAAAGTAAAAGAAATGTAGATAGATAATTAGATGTGAGCAGAATGTTATATATATATTAATATATATATATATAGAGAGAGAGAGAGAGAAAGGAAGAAAAAGTGTACAGACTGAAATAGATACATGCATACATAGATGTAAACAGCTGAGATAGATAGATAGATAGATAGATAGATAGATAGATAGATAGATAGATAGATGAAGGGAATGTGATAGATAAGTAACACAGTGAAATAGATAGATAGATAACGAACAGAGATAGATAGATAGAAAGATAGAATAATAAAGACAGACAGATAGATAGATAGATAGATAGATAGATAGATAGATAGATAGATAGATAGATAGATAGATCTGAAGAGAAACTGATAGATAATTAACACACTGAGATAGATAGATAGATAGATAGATAGATAGATAGATAGATAGATAGATAGATAGATTGAAAGAAAATGAACAGACTGAAACAGATAGATAGATAGTTAATGAACAGAGATAGATAGATAGAAAGATAGAATAATAAAGATAGATAGATAGATCTGAAGAGAAACTGATAGATAATTAACACACTGAGATAGATAGATAGATAGATAGATAGATAGATAGATAGATAGATAGATAGATAGATAGATAGATTGAAAGAAAATGAACAGACTGAAACAAATAGATAGATAGATAGATAGATAGATAGATAGATAGATAGATAGATAGATAGATAGATAGATAGCAATTGTATGGTCTCATATTGTATATAGTGAGTTGAAACCAATAACAAACTGAAACAAAAGAAAGTTAATGGAAGGAAAAGTTAAATGAATGAAACAAAGAAATTCACAATGATGCAAAATATGAAACGGCTACGATTCATTGAAAAAAAACTGAAATGAATTCATCGATAAAGGGACCGAATGAAATACGTAAATGAAATATGAGAGAAGGAAAAAAAAATCAAATTCAAAAATGAAAACAATAGGCTTCAAAATAGAACTTCAATATAAATGAAAAACTGGAAAATAATGAAAAAAAAGTTAAATAAATGAATTGTCATAAAATATACGGAAATATCTTCTGAAAGGAAGAAAACGAAAATTATCGAGAAACAACATGAAGATTAAAAGTAACCAATAAAAGTGAATAAAAATAAATGTGTTTGAAAGACATTGGAAATATCAACAGAAGGAAAGAGAAGGAAAAATGAAGAAAAATGAAAGAAATTGGAAATATCTTGGAAAAGAAAGGTAACGAAATTTATCAAAAAAGAACATGAAGATAAAATGTAATCAATAAAAGTGAATAAAAAATGAACGTGATTGAAAGACATTGGAAATATCAAATGAAAGAAAGAGAATGAAAAATGAACAAGAATGAAAGAAATTGGATATTTCAACCGAATGAAAAAGGATAAAACATTCGGAAAGAATGAATGTGATTCGGATCTTCAACTGAATGACAAAGAATGAAAAATTAAACAAGAATTAAAGAAATGGTAACTTGAAATGAATGAAACAGTTAGAAAATTATCAAGAATTAATGAAATTACAAAGTTCAACTGACTGTAAGGAATAAAAATTCAACACAAATGAAAAAAAAATGCATTACTATAACAGATGAAAAAGAATTGAATACCTCAATAAGTATAAACGATTTTGTATTCTTCAATTGAATGAGAGAGCATGAATAAATAAATAAAAAGTTTGAAAGAAATTAAAAATTTCAATCGAATAAAAAAGTATGAAATATTCAAATAGAATGAAAGAAATTGGGAAATTCAACTGAATGAAATAAAGTGTATTTTTCAAACGAATGAGATGAGTGAATATTTCAACAAAAAAGAAAAAAATATGAGAAATCCAAACAAATGAAAAATTCTGAATAATTCCAAAAGAATTAATGAAATTATGAATTTTAGCCGAATGAAAAACAATTAATCATTTAACCGAGATGTAAGAAATTGGAAAACACAACGGAACGAAAAAGAAAGAAATTTGAACAATAATGAAAGATATTGTATTCTTTATCCCAATGAAACATTATGAAAATTTAATAGTGCTTAAAAAATTATAAATTTCGAGTGAATAAAAAGGTATTTACATTAGTCGGACTATTGTCCTCATCTTTGTCGCCATATTTGTCACAACGTTTCGGCCGTTGTACGCTCCGGCCTTCTTCAGGTGGTTGGAATTTCGAACTGAACCCTTTATTTCGATCGCTGGAGTAGACTGTTCTAGTTCCACCTGCCATGTTTGATGGATGTCAGTTATCAGTTATCTCCTGCTAATTTTCCCTCTGAAAGTTCTCCACTGCCTTAACCAGGAATTGAACTCACCTTCTTTGGGTCTGTCACTGGATCTAACCAACGCCTTTATCCACTGTGCCATGCGATCGAAATAAAGGGTTCAGTTAAAAATTCCAACCACCTGAAGAAGGCCGGAGCGTACAACGGCCGAAACGTTGTGACAAATATGGCGACAAAGATGAGGACAATAGTCCGACTAATGTAAATACTGTACATAATACCTCATCTCAGAAATATAGACAGACTCTGAATAAAAAAGAATTAAACATTCAAACCAAATGAAAAAAATTGGGAAATTCCACTGAATGAATGACAATGAATGAAATTGTATTTTTCAACTGAAAGTAAAAAATAAATAATTCAATAAGGCGGGAAGAAATATTCAAACAAAATGAAAGTAATTGACAAATTAAAATGAATGAAAGAGATTGAAAAATTCAACAAGAATGAATGAAATTATATTTTTCAGCCGAATGAATAAGAATGAATATTTCAACAAGGAGGAAAGAAATTGTCAAATTCAAAATAAATGAAAAATTCAACAGGAAACAAAAAAGAGTATTTTAGACGAATGAAAATGAATGAAGGATTCTGCAAGAATGAAAGAAATTAGAAATTTCAGTTGATTGAAAGAGAATAAAAAATTTCCAGTGAACGAAAATAACTGTATACTTGACACGAATGATAGAATGAATCATTCCACAAGAATGAAAGAAATTAGAAATTTCAGCTGAATGAAAGAGAATGAAAAATTCGTCGAGAATGAAAGAAACTGTATGCTTGACACGAAGGAAAGAATGAATCATTCCACAAGAATGATAGAAACCTGAAACTTCGACTGCATAAAACAGAAGGAAAAATTAACGACGATTGAAAGAAATTTGGTAACTTCACCCAAGTGGAATTGAATGAGAAATTCTTGAAGAATGAAAGAGAAAGATAAACAAATAGCAATGGTGAAACGCAGCCGATGTTTTTGCTTACTGAAACTCGTCGCAGAAAACCAAAATACCAGTTGTTAACGAGGCTGATTTGCACACATCAATTGAGATCGATATCAATTACTCGACGCCAACATGGTCGTCTAAGTGGAAAGTTTGATTTCAGTTGATTTTAGCTTATTTCTGGTCACGTGTTCAGTTGACATTTTGGATGTTTTTTTTTTGTGTGTTTTTTTTTTGTTGTTTTTTTGGGGGTTTTTTTTGTAAAGATTTCGTAGGTAGTGACGTTTAGAAATAGATCGATACATGAGAGAGAACGATGGAAGTAAGTGAGATGAGAAAAAAAAAACTAACATAAAAAAATTAAAATATAGAAAAAAAACCATATAAAAAATAATCGACAAAAAATACTAAATGAACGGATTGAGAAAGATAAAAACGTAAATGGGATTAGATAGATAGATTGATTTTTATAAAATGAAAGACAGATATGTAAAAACGTTTTAAAATCAGTTGGGAGAAAGATAAAAACGTAAAGAGTAGATTTTGATGAAAAAGATTATAGATAGATAGATTAGATACGATAGAAATAAACTTTAAAGATAGATGATAAATGCGCAAAAGTAAAAAGATAATGTTTAAAACAAAGTAAATGGATATTTTAGACTGAGATAGATAGATAGATAGATTGAAAGATAGATAGATGAGATAGATCATTGAAATGATTGAATAGATGAAAGATATAGAATAGATAGAAATTCGAAAAGTAAAACAGATAGATATACATAGACTGAAATGAAGATAGATTGAGATCAGATAGATAGATAGATAGATAGATAACAGATAAAACCAATGAACAGATTGATAAAAGTAAAAATCTCTTTTTTAAGAGAAATGGGATAGAATAGATTGAAAAAATAAATAGATAGATAGATAGATATGATGAAAGAGTTTTACACAGTCTGAGATAGATAGATATAGATAGATAGATAGAGAATAGATAGATAGATAGATAGATAGATAGATAACAAAAATTGAAAAAGATACAAATTAAAATGAACAGACTGATAAACTGATAGTAGATAAAAAATGATGCCGTTTAAAATCAGAAATGTCCACTGCTAAAATGATGAATTTTATAAATTCAGTAAATGGGATAGATAGATAATGTAGAGATAGAATATAGATGATAGATAGATAATAGATAAATTTGGAAGAGAAGATATATAGATGATAAGAAATAAATAGATTAAAAACGGCATTCAATTGATATTGAGAAAACATAGATGAAGAATACACTGAAAATGGTAGATTTTGAAAATTTATGTTGAAAAAATTGCTATTTAAAATCGTAAAAATTAGATAAATGATAGATAGATTGATGATCGATTTTCTGAATATAACAATTATGATAATAGATAGATGATAGAATATATATATATATATATATATATATATATATATATATATATATATATATATATATATATATATATATATATATATATATATAAAGATATACTAGAATGTTTGAATTTTTGATTTGAACAATAATCAAATCAATCTCGTTTAAAAAAAAGGTTTTAAAAAAGAAAGAGCTAGAAACATGAAAGTCTGTCGACAAAAAAATCGCACAGATACAGGTTTGAAGCCCAAAAAAAAACCCGATACGAGTAAACAACTAACTAACAAAAGAGCTCAATACAACCGTAGATGTTGAACAAAGAAGATAGATACACCTAGATAGAGCCAGACAAATCTAGATAGGTTTCAATTAAGCGGATCAGACTGATAAATAGTAAAAAATTTAAAATTTAAAATTAGATAGATAGATAAAAGAGAAAGATATAAGACTGAGATAGATATTTATAATAGATGATAGAAAAAAATAGATATGAATGTGATAGATAGATAAAAGAAAAACAAAAGAAAAAAATTAAGATGATAACACCTGGAGATAGATAGGGGATAGATGATTTATAGATAGACTGAAAAATTTAGATAGGATATTAAGATGAAAAATTTTAAAATAGGATGTTTAAATTAAGACAATACAGAAACAGATGGGAGATAGATATTAGATGGATAATAACCAAGATTTTCTGAAATGCCTCCAGATGTAAATAGTAAAATGATCGTTTTTTAGAGAATAATAGATAGATAGATAGATTGAAATATTATAGATAATATGAAAAAGACTGAGATAGATGATAGATAGATAATAGATAGATAGATAGATATGAAGAGATTGAGATAGATAGATAGATGATAGATAGATAGATAGATGAAAAAAATTTAAAATGATGGATGTTGAACAAATTTATATTTGATAGCATTTTTTAGAAAATAAATCCCATTTAAAAATGAAATGGGGAAATGAACAGACTTTAAATTGTTTTTATTAAATTGTTTAGATTTTAGATAGATAGGAATGAAAAAAATTCTGAGATAATGGATAGATATTTAGTTTTTCGTAAAAAAAACTAGATCGACAGGGGATAATGATTATAGTAAGTAAAATAGATAGATTTTTAAATTTATCCACAGACTCTGATGAGATAGAAGCAGATAGATGATATATAGATGGATTTATTGAGGATAGATTTGTAGATCCTCCATATCCTAGATAGATTTTCGATGTTGGTAAGATAGAAACCAGACTGCATAGATAGATTGATATTCAGATATTTTTTATGATAACAAGTCTAAGAAATTGATACAATAGAAATTACTGATAACTAGGAGGGATACTGTTTCAAATTCAATTTAGAAGATATATATATATAGATATATATATATATATATATATATATATATATATATATATATATATATGCAGATGGAGATTTCATTGATGGATAGATAGATAGATAGACAAATTGCTTTTAGATTTATTTTTTTTTATTCAATAGATGGATAGATAGATAGATTAACAGTCTAGAAATAAATAGATCTAATATGCTTTTAAAATCAGAAATTTCTGAATGATAAATTTTATAAAACTTCCAAACGTAAATCCGTTTTTATCCGAGCGCTTTCAATTGAAGGCTATACATTTTGAAAATTTACAAAAATTAAATATTTTATCTGTATAAAACAATTTTAAATATATTTGTTGTATATATTTTTTATTTTATAAATGTTTTCATTTTTCAATAAAAACAACGGTCAAAAAAAAGGTTTAAAAAAAAAAAAGTCCATGTTCGACAAAAAGTTAATAAAAAATTAAAAAAAAAAATGATACGAGTAAACAACTAACTTTTTTTTTCAATACAACCGTTTTTTTTTGAGCCAGACAAATACCCAACAAAAAGCGGATCGTCAAAAGGCTTCCATTTATGATTTTTGATCAAAAAAAAAAAAACAAAAAAAACAATTTTTTTTTGCGACTGTAGATGATGCTATGACAATAAAAACAGGTGAATTATTAGTAATAAGTTTTCAATATGTTAAGTATGTCATGAATAGTGTCCGTTAGGTTGATATAAAAAATATTTAATTTTACATAGATCAAAATGAGCTTTATATTTATGGCATTTTTAAAATATTTCCCATTTAATGACAAAGTCTTTATTGTTTTCTTGTCTAGCTTTCATACATAGGTCATTTGTATATATTTTTTGTTTTAAAAATAAATTATCTTTTTTAAAATTTTTAAATAGCAATATGTATTTTAGGCTTTGTATCCTTTCCTTATAATTTCGCCTATAAAAAATCTTGATATTAAAATTCAACTAACTTAGGTGATTTAATTTAAATATATATATAATAATATATTATATGCACATTCATACGACATTGTTTTTCATAAAAATTTATTTTTTTTTTAAAGGATCTAATATTTTATTATTTTGATAAAATATAACGTTCTTTTTAGAGATCTTAATTTAGCCATTTTTGATAAAATAAATAATTAATGTTTATTTTTTTTTTATATATTTCATTTGGTGATATTTTAATTTCAAAATAATATTATTAAATTGGTTTTTTTTTGTTTTTTCATCTTCCTTATTTTAGCCTTTTTCGTTCATTATTATTTTTTCAACAAAAAAAAATAGTGTTTTGTGAAATTTAAATGTGTTTTATTTATAGAAAAATATCATATATAAGGTTACAATTATTTAAAAATTTAAATCCGAAAAACCGTTTGACATCTAAATTCGTAGTTCATTTGGATTAGTTCTAGGAGCCCAAATTATTTTTTTGAAATATAATATTTTTAAATTGGCGGGCGTTAATCTAATTTTGTTGCTATAGTCAACTGGTGTTATGAATAAACTAATGACAGAAAATTTCATATTTTCAAGTTCATTTGCATTGGAAATAAATATAAAGCGATTGTATCGGATTTATTTAACAATATCGTTGGTCGTATTCAAAAAGATTTTTCAAATTTCTCAGGCGGGCGTTTAACGCGCAAAAAAAATTTTTGGAAATCAAAAATAATGATATGAAGACATTTCAAATTTGTAACGCGAAAAAAATAAAATGATATAGGTTTAATTAAAAAGTTTACAAGAATTGTAACATTCCCAGATACGATATAAATATTCCCGAAAGGAACGAGTATTTTGGTATTTTCTATAGTTTTGAGAAGGCCCATTAACATTCAAAAGAGTTCTTCAGACTAAATAACATTTTTTCGGATATAAATCAGATAAGGAAAGACCAAAAACAACAAAAAAATATTCGCTGAGTTTTTATTATTTATTAGTAGTCTCAGTTTTTCCTTTTTGTTGAAATATTCACTCATCTCATTCGTTTGAAAAATACACTTTATTTCATTCTTGTTGAATATTTAATTCTCTTACATTCAGTTGAATTTATCAATTTCTTTCATTCTGTTTGAATAATTCATATTTTTTTTATTCGATTGAAATTTATAATTTCTTTCAAACCTTTTTTTATTTATTCATGCTCTCTCATTCAGTTGAAGAATACAAAATCGTTTATACTTATTGAGGTATTCAATTCTTTTTCATCTGCTATATTAATGCAATTGTTTTTCATTCGTGTTGAATTGTTATTTCCTGCAGTCAGTTGAACTTTGTAATTTCATTAATTCTTGATAATTTTCTAACTCTTTCATTCATTTCAAGTTACCATTTCTTCAATTCTTGTTTAATTTTTCATTCTTTTTCATTCAGTTGAAGATCCGAATCACATTCATTCTTTCCGAATGTCTTATTCTTTTTCATTCGGTTGAAATATCCAATTTCTTTCATCCTTCTTCATTTTTCATTCTCTTTCATTTGATATTTCCAATGTCTTTCAATCACGTTCATTTTTTATTCACTTTTATTGGTTACTTTTTATCTTCATGCTATTTTTTGATATTTTCGTTGACTTTCTTTCATTTGATATTTCCAATTTCTTTCATTGTTCTTCATTTTTCATTCTCTTTCTTTCATTTGATATTTCCAATCTCTTTCAATCACGTTTATTTTTTTCATTTTGTAATTATGAACAAATATTGTTTTATTTTTGTCAACGCTTGCATATAGTCTTCAATGGTCAAGTTTGTTTTCGTTTGTTAGTAGTAGTAGTAGCAGCATAAATCAAAGTTATCTGTTACCTCCCTTTAGAAATTTTTTACTTCATCATAAAGTCAGTTTACGAACCAGTAACAAACTTTTACCAAAAGAATTTTGTATGATTTTAGATTTTTACTGTAACGTTGGGCGATGAAAAACAGTGAGTGATAAAAAAAAGGTTGGGAATTCCAGGCGTATAACATATAACTACAAGGGAAAATAATGACATAATCACTCACAACCAAAGACAAAACATTAGAAAGGACAGAAATGGACTCGTGCCACATATGCTTGTGTATAAGTCTATTTCATGTATAACTCTATTGGCTAAATGTTTTTGTTCAAAACCTGATTTCTTTTTTTATATAGGTCATAGGTCTAATGTAGATAAATATGGCAGTACTTGGCAAGCAGCATTTTATCAGTTTATGAACCAGTAACAAACTTTTACCAAATAATTTTGATATAATTTTGAATAGTCACTACACAGCTGGGTGGTGGAAATTTTTTTTCAATTTGCAAGTTGGAGATTACGGAAAAAATGATTTGGAATTGCTGCTCTCGATGCTCAGTGGTTCTTCCTTAATATTCTTGTAAAGAAACCCTTTTCTCAAGATTTCAGGCAGTAGTAGACATTCCACGGTGATGATTCTACCCGTCTGCTTTTGTGATTTTTTTCTTTGTTTATAAAACTTTTTTTACTTATATAATGTTCACTATTTAACCTAGTTATAATTCGAAATTGGTGTG